CGTCCAGTCGTGCTTCTAGGGAAGCTTCGCGGAGTTCCTGTTAAGATTCTCGTAGATAGCGGAGCTAGCCACTCGTTCGTCTCTTCATCGTTAGTTTCTCGTCTCCATCTCGAAGCAGATTCAGCAGTCAACTTCAAGGACGCTCGCATGGTAGATGGGACGCCACTTCACATAGGACCGATCATCCGCAAGTTGCGCGTAGTGCTAGGACCGATCACAGTCAGGCGTGATTTCGACTCTGCGACGCTGGACGGATACGATTTTATCTTCGGGAGAGATTGGCTACGGACGGTTAGTACTCAGTTCGATTGGGCTCAGGGAAGCTGCAGCGTCAAGGTAGACGGGGAGTTCCGGGAGCTGCCACAGTGGAGCGATGGGGCCTCATTATCCACAGCTATCATTAATGCTGTTCGTGTGCGACAGTTAGTGAAGCGTGCGGCACGGATCTTCGCGGTTTTTCTTGAGGAGGTGGAAGCTGAGGAGGGGAAAGGAGGGAGTGCAGCAGTTAGTGAGAAGGCGACTCTTCCTGCTGAGGTGAGTGCACTGTTAGCAGAGTTCGCAGACGTCTTCTCCGACGAGTTGCCCCCAGGGTTGCCTCCCAGCCGAGCAGTAGACCATCGAATAGAATTGGAGCCAGGGAGCAGGCCAGTAGCGAAGCCGCAGTGGAGGTTGAGTCCAGCGGAGACAGAGGAGATGACGCAGCAAGTTAGGCACTTTTCTCGCACAGGGTTTCATACAGCCATCTAGATCGCCTTGGGCCGCACCGATACTTTTCGCACCCAAGAAAGACGGAGGGTTACGGATGTGCATAGATTACCGCGCACTGAACGCCGCCACCGTCAAGAATAGATTCCCGGTGCCGAGAGTAGAGGATCTTCTCGATGCAGTGCAGGGCGCTAGAGTCTTCTCAAAGATCGACCTTCGTTCGGGTTACCACCAGATTCGAGTAGTTCCAGAGGACCAGCACAAGACGGCGTTTCGTACGAAGCAGGGGTTGTACGAGTTTAGGGTTCTACCGTTCGGATTGACCAACGCCCCAGCGACGTTTCAGACGCTCATGAACACAGTCCTCTCAGAGTTCCTAGGGTCGTTCGTTGTCGTTTACCTAGACGACATCCTAGTGTTCTCTAAGACGAAAGATGAGCACGTGCAGCACTTGCAGAAGGTCTTCGAGGTCTTACGGAGGGAGCAGTTATACGCTAAGCAGTCGAAGTGCGAGTTCTTCCTTCCAGAGGTCGAGTTCCTAGGACACGTCGTATCCGCTAGTGGCATTAGGACTGACCCGAAGAAGATCGCAGCAGTACAGGATTGGGTAGCACCGACCTCAGTCAAGGAGTTGCAGAGCTTCCTCGGTTTCGCGAACTACTACCGTCGTTTCGTTCAGGGTTACGCATCGATCGCTAGTCCACTCACCGACCTACTTCGGAAGGGCGTAGAGTACGTTTGGGGTCCAGCGCAGCAGCAGGCGTTCGAGCAGATGAAGCAGTCGCTCACGTCCTCACCGACACTGTCGTACCCTGATCCCACTCGCCCATACGTTGTAGTGACCGACGCTTCCGATCAGGCCATAGGAGCAGTGCTTCTTCAGGACCAGGGACGCGGGTTGCAGCCGATCGCGTACGAGTCGCGTAAGCTTAGGGGAGCGGAGTTGAACTATCCCATACACGACAAGGAGGCGCTCGCGATCATCAATGCGTATAAGGTGTGGAGGTGCTACCTAGAGGGGGCAGATAGTGTTATACGCACGGACCACTGTTCGTTTCGTTTCCTCAAGTCGCAGCCGCAGCTGAGTCGTCGCCAGGCTAGGTGGATGGAGTTCATGGAAGGGAGCTTTCACTACAGGATAGAGTACAAGCCAGGCGTGCGCAACCCAGCAGATCCGCTCACTCGCCCTGGTTGTCAGCTCGCCAGTCTCACAGTCACTGCTGGCCACCCACTTCTCACAGCACTCTTCGAGCACGGTTACAGAGTAGATCCCGACTTCACACCGCAGCCGCCCGCAGGAGCAGAGGTGCCGGGAAGTGTCTACATACGGAAGGGTACCACACTGATTTGGGTTCCAGCCTACCGCCCTCTTCGACAGCTCCTTCTCTCAGAGGCGCACGACGTAGTTAGTGTAGGGCACTTCGGAGCAGATAAGACGGCTAAGACGCTTAGTCGCACGTACTACTGGCCCGGGCTTGCAGCAGACGTAGAGGATTACATTCGCTCGTGCGACACGTGTCAGCGTACGAAGTCCTCTCGCCAGCGCAAAGCAGGACTCTTGCAGCCGATTCCACCGCCCGACCGCCCTTGGCAGGTAGTTACCATGGACTTCATCATGGCTTTACCGCGCACAGTTAGGGGTCATGACGCCATCTTCGTAGTAGTGGATAAGTTTTCTCGAGCAGCGCATTTCATCCCCACGCACGGCAAGGTCACAGCAGAGGAAGCCGCGACGCTGTTCGTAGATAACGTAGTCCGACTGCACGGGGTTCCAGATTCCATCATCTCAGACCGCGACCCTCGTTTCACTTCGAAGTTCTGGAAGCAGCTTTTCGCACTGTTTGGGACTCGCTTAGCCATGTCGTCTGCGTACCACCCAGAGACAGACCGACAGACCGAGCGTGTGAACCAGACCTTGGAGCAGATCCTTCGCAGCATCACGATGCACGACGCAGCCGCATGGGACAAGAAGCTGAGCATGGCAGAGTTCGCCTACAACAACACGCACCACTCCGCCACAGGCATGTCACCGTTCTTTGCACTTTACGGTCAGCACCCCAATGTCCCCACTCGTGTCGATCTCACACCCACAGTCCCTCGTGCGGAGAACTTCCACCAGCATCTCACCTTCATTCATGATCACGTGAGGAAGCACCTTGAGCTCGCAAATGCACGCATGGCACGCACCACCAACCGCAGTCGTCGTGAGGTGTCGTTCGCAGTCGGCGACCGTGTTCTCTTGGATAGCCGCAACCTCCGACTGCCACAGGACAGCAAGCTTCGTCCACGTTTCATTGGTCCATTCGTCATTGAGCGCGCACTAGGTCCAGTCGCATACCGCCTTCGCCTTCCCGCACATTTCCGCATGCACCTGTCATTCCACGTGTCTCTCTTTCGCCCATACACCGATCCCAATGCCACCTTCTCGGGCCGTGATCGCACTCCACTGCCGGTAGCTGTTGACATCGACGAGCCCGACTACCAGATCTAGCGCATCCTCAGGCACCGTCGCCGTCTCCAGGGGGGTGTCACTTTCATCGACTTCTTGGTTCGTTGGCGTGGTTACGACGCAGCAGACGACAGCTGGGTTCCTTCGTCCTCGCTGTCTCCTGACAACGCTTGCCTCCAAGCGTACCTTCAGTCTGCAGGCGCCGCGGACGTCGCCTCCTTGGGCGGGGGGTAGTGTTAGAGGGGTGTTTACTGTTCATTCCGACCAGTACATTCCTAGTCACCATTATCCTTATCTTCTCAGATTCTCTAGTGCCACGTGGCACTCTACTTTTCTTGCACTCCAATTCTTGGTCCCACATTCCACTTTCCAACCTTGTTTCTTGCATGCTATTTAAACCTTGCTTGTACTTGCCATTATCAATCAATTCTCATTCAACTCTTCTTCAATTACTCAGTAACTTCTTCGCCTATTTCGCCAATAGTTCTTTCGCCAAAGTCTTCCGCCGCGTTTCATCCTCGACTTAGTCGACCCCGCTAATTCTTTAGCGGACTTAGGCCGTCGGGCCTAACAGTAGTGAGAAACAGGGTGTAGTGTCTTTACAGGTGAAGTGGAACTGAAGCGAAGTATTTCCCACTCTTGGGATTGTCCGGATTACAGTTCCAGTTGCTTATCTCTGATTCTCAACCTTCCGGTTTCTCATTAAACTCCATGGCTTCTCACTCAACCTGCTGGTTTCCCATTCAACCTCGTTGATTCCAACTCAATCTCGTTGTTTCCGGTACGTGCTTCTCCTTCCTCTTCCCTGGAGCCACGCCAACCAATCGCATCGCGGAAGCTGGAGGGAAAAAATAACCGTTGGTACGACTCATCGCGGTGCGATTGGGTTGGTAGCGAAACGGTTGACGAAGTTTTCAAAAGTAACGGAGCTAGGACGACAGTCGTGGTGTGGTGCTGCGAGTGCAAGAGCTAGTAACCCTAAACCCAGGCTCAACAAAATTCCCACAACACAAGTTCCCTACTGTCCAAGGGGAAGGTGCTACATGTACGTGGTGGGCGATCAGGCGAATTTCTGGTGCATCTGACGAAAACGTGACACGTGACAGAAGTTTTTGTGCCACGGATAAGCCAGGGGGTTTGCTGACGTGTGTGCCTTTGCGGATATGCCAGGTCGTGCGTGAGGTGGGTGTTACCTATCACAGCAACAAGGTCACATATAGCTTCACCGCATTCAAACAAGCATAACCTTCCTCAATCGTGGGAAAGAGCACTCTCCCTTGCACACACATATTTACGAGTTAGAAACACTGAGCAGGATTACAGTTCTGTTCGGATTACAGTTCCGTAATGGAAGCATTTACACCACAGTTTTTCAAGTACCCCTCCCCCCCCCCCCCCCCCCCCTCCCCTCACCTACCCACCACGCATGAGGGAAGCCTTCTGAATGTAGAAGCGATGTCTATACCATGTCAGAAGCATATCAACAAGACGGATGGAGCAGCGGGTCGCGGTTGACGTCCTTGTAAAGGAGATACCTTGACCGAGTCTTGCCCAGTGCTGCATACCTGCATGGCGCAATACGGAAATGAGAAAACATCAGTGAGTGGAAGACGGACATTGAGAAACATGTGCGATGGGAAAAAAACAAAGGTCACAAAATCAGGAGCAATTGTCATCGCAACTAAGATACAGCAAGAGCATTAAAAACGAAGGGAAAGGAGAAATCAGGCAATGTTTTTCACTAGAAAAGGACGGTGAATGGCCCGTCACCACCCACATGATTCCTAGGGTACATGCGTGTTAGTGAGATAACTTGAATGTGCATAATATGGTAAGGTTATCTCACCATTGGGGAACAAAAGGGGCCATCCAAATGGCGTCGCCTGCTTGGACGGGATACCTGCAGATACAGAGTCAACAAGTGTAGTTTTGAGGCGCCTCAAAACGGGATTCCTGCAGATACAGAGTCAACAAGTGTAGTTTTGAGGCGCCTCAAAACGGGATACCTGCAAATACAGAGTCAACAAGTGTAGTTTTGAGGCGCCTCAAAACGGGATACCTGCAGATACAGAGTCAAAAAGTGTCCAACTGTCATGCTTAATCAGCTATTGCCTTACCAGCTATTGCCTTTACCAGCTATTGCCTTTACCGGCTATTCCTTAACCAGCTATTGCCTTTACCAGCTATTGCCTTCACCAGCTATTGTCGTAACCAGCTATTGCCTTCACCAGCTGTTGAATTAACCAGCTATTGCCTTAACCAGCTATTGAATTAACCAGCTATTGCCTAACCCAGCCATTGCCGTAATCACCTATTGAATCAACCAGCTATTGCCTTAACCAGCCATTGTTGTAATTAATTATTGCTGTAATAAGCTATTGCCGTAATCAGCTATTGCCTCACCAGCTATCAGCCAAGCGGTATATTCCCCGCCCTTCCAGCAGCAGCAGTCCGTGCTGATTGTAATGCACCTCCTGACGGGGGGTGTAGGAAAAGGGTGGAGGAAGGGTAGATTCATGCAAGACAGGCAAGGAAGGGTAGTGGTCGGTGAAAGGAGATGAATCACCCGCCCTTCCAGCAGCAGCAGTCCGTTCTGATTGTAATGCACCTCCTGAGTTGGGGAAGGAGGGAGGGAGGGAGGGAGGGAGGGAGGGAGGGAGGGAGAAATTGAGAGAAATCTAGTTATAGGCAAAATCCAAGTTGATCCTAAGCAACTGCATATTCTTGAGTTGAATCAAATATTGATGCAAATTCTGACCTAGACTCAAACGGAACATGCTCATGTAAGCAAATACAGGGGAACGGGGGTGACTGGCCAAAATAAGACCCTGAGCATATTTCACAGTATATTGGCATTTAATACCTAAACCAGCTACACTCACCTTCACATTAAGGAATTCCCCAGGTTCAAAATCCATGATCTGTAGAGAGTAGAGGGAGTGTTCAGCGCAATGGGCACAAACGTTCATGCTTATAAGAAAAAAAGAAGAGGAAACGTCAAGAAAAAGGGAGAACTACAGAAGAATTGCACGAACATGGGTTTCGTCGGCATTATTAGGCAAAAAACAAAAGACAAGATCAAGCAAAAAATGCTGTACGAAGCAACCCTTACATGAATATTGAAGTCATAGGCAATGGTGGAGGGAAGCAGCTTGCGAAGAGCAAAAACCTGCAGAATGATGGAAGAAGGGGAGAACAGGAGGAATGATAGAGCACCGCACACCACCGCACCACACATTACCGCACGGCACAAAACAGCACAGCACAGTCGGTCGTACAAGGGAGGCGTCTATTATTATTGAGGTAAATCAGGCGCTCAAAGAACTGGAGAACGGTGGATGTGACCATGACAGCAGAGGTGACTTTTGAGTCGACTCAAAAGTCAAGGGAGGCGTCTATTATTATTGAGGTTAATCAGGCGCTCAAAGAACTGGAGAACGGTGGATGTGACCATGACAGCAGAGGTGACTTTTTGAGTCGACTCAAAAGTCAAGGGAGGCGTCTATTATTATTGAGGTTAATCAGGCGCTCAAAGAACTGGAGAACGGTGGATGTGACCATGACAGCAGAGAGTGGGTTGCTTGTTTATGAAAAGTGAAGTGAAAGTTACAAATGACAGTTAGAAGTGGCAGTTACAAGTGGCAGTTACAAGTGGCAGTTACAAGTGGCAGTGACAAGTGGCAGTGACAAGTGGCATTGACAAGTGGCAGTGACAAGTGGCAGTGACAAGTGGCAGTTACAAGTGATGATGAAAACAGGACGCAAGTTGTAGTGACAGCAACAGAACGCACCTCCCCAGGGACTGGCAGGATGGGTTGCTTGTGCGTCTGTCCCACCACCACCGCCAACCCCTCTGAACCGCTCTCCACCCCTGAGGCTGTAGCGAAGCCCGAGATAGGGCAGTACCTGGTGGTGGTGGGTGGAGGGCGTGGGGGTTTCGGGGGTGGGGGGGGGGGGGGGGGGGGGGGGATTGGGGGACACCTGAGGCTGTAGCGAGACCTGAGATAGGGCAGTACCTGGTGGTTGTGGGTGGAGGGCGTGGGGGGTCCGGGGTGGGGGGGTGTGGGGGGGGGGGAGGGGAAGGACACCTGAGGCTGCAATGAGGCCTGAGATAGGGCAGTACCTGATGGTGGTGCGTGGAGGGCGTGGGAGTTTAGGGGGGAAAAGAGGGGGGAGAGACGAGGACGGCTTTGAGTCTGCTTTTGAGTCGACTATAAAAACCGCTCTCCACACCTGAGGCTGTAGGGAGGCCTGAGATAGGGCAGTACCTGATGGCGGTGGGTGGAGGGCGTGGGAGTTTAGGGCGGGATAGAGGGGGAGTGAGGGGAAGACGAGGACGGGGGAGGAAGGAAGGAGGGAGGAAAGGAAGGGAAGGGTGGAGGAGGAGGGGGGGGGGGGGAGGGGAGGAGGGGAAGAGGGGAGAAGGGAAGGGATATTTGGCAAAGTGAAGGAAGATGGAAGGTGCACATCATGTGGATTTCGGGCCGAGAGAGTAAATTTACTGGACGGGATTAAAGATAATAATGAGTGTAGCTCGTGCACGGCCAAAGGAAGGCGTGGTCTGTCTGTGAAACTCGAACGCCTGTTTGAACGGAAATTGGACTAAACCTCGGCTTTAAAGTATCAGGGGTTGAAAGCACCTGCTTTCAATGAGTACGAGTGTAGCTCCAGTCTCCAGACACAGACGCCAAGGAGTGGTGCGCACCATTCGGTGACCGCTCAGCCCTGTACTTGAGAGATTCCCGTTGGGCTTTAAGCTCTCTTCTGGGCAAACTATACTGGTGTTACTTTTGAGAATTCTCAAAAGTAACACCATTCAGTGACCACTCAGCCCTGTACTTGAGAGATGATAATTGGGCTTTAAGCTCTCTTCTGGGCAAAGGGAACCTTAACTGCGTTCAATGAGCACGAGTGTAGCTCCAGTCTCCAGTCTCCAGACGCAGACGCCAAGCAGAGGTGCGCCCCATTCGGTGACCGCTCAGCCCTGTACTTGAATGATGAGAGTTGGGCTTTAAGCCCTCTTCTGGGCAAAGAGAACCTTACCTGCGTTCAATGAGCACGAGTGTAGCTCCAGATGCAGACGCCACGGAGTGGGGCATTTCATTCAGTGACCTCTTTGTTGGGCTTTAAGCTCTTACAAGAAGGGAGGGAACCTTACCTGCGTTCAATGAGCACGAGTGTAGCTCCAGACGCAGAGGCCAACGAGTGGGGAGTGTTTGGAGGCAGATACACATACGAGTCGGCCTGAGACAAGGAGATACAAGGGAAATTGGCACAGACATGTGATTCTTTAGTCAGCTCAAAGATCGACTTCAGGCGCAGGGGCCAAGGAGTGGGGCGTGTTTGGAGGCAGGCAGATACACATAGGAGTCGGCCTGAGACAGTGATGACTTAAAGCCCAAGTGCGCACCGCAAGATCCTCCTGCAGAACAATGGAGCTTGTACAGGTGGAGGCGCTCCCAGCATCGCCAGCTGACGCGCACTCATTGGCCGCACCTCCTTCACTGGTCTCTCCTGGAGCCCCGCACTGAGTGAAGCTGACCTGCCCTGATACCACAAACACAAACCTGCAGGCAGCAACGGAGCAACTCAGGCAGGCAGGCGGCAGTGATCCACATTGAATGAATAAATCAACACAGTGGATACGAAACGGGTGGTTGCTGCCAGACGTTGAGGTGACACGGTTTTTTGAGTCGACTCAAAAACAGACTCATCACACGCGGGTTGCTGCCAGACGTCGAGGTGACTTTTTAGGCGCCTCAAAAATCACCTCAAGGCAGGCGGCAGTGATCCACCACATTGAATGAATACTTTAACACAGTGGATACGAAACGAGTGGTTGCTGCCAGACGTTGAGGTGACATTGACAATAAGGCGCCTCAAAAATCACCTCAAGGCAGGCGGCAGTGATCCATGCTGAATGAAAACATCAACGCAGGTGACACGAAATGAGTGGTTGCTGCCAGACAGCACAAAATGCTTGCACAAGGGCTATGCTATCCCCCTTACAGCGAAAAGGTGAAATTCGTCACAACGTGCTGCCTCACATTCCAGTCACACAAGTCAACACATGCTTCTAATGTATTGAATTCTGCTACATAGACGTTTCTCAGTTGTGTGATCACTCACCTTGGAACATGCTTGTCATCTTATCACCTGTATCCCTCTTCCCTCCATGCCTCTCTCCCCCATGCCTCTCCCCCCCATGCCTCTCCCCCCCATGCCTCTCCCCCCCATGCCTCTCCCCCTCATGCCTCTCCCCTCCATGCCTCTCCCCTCGATGACTCTCACACGCATGCCTGCCTACGTCTCACCTCTCCACTCCAACCACTGGAGGGGCGGAGGAGGCATTGCCTGAAACAGCGAGTGGGGAGAGAATAACAAGTGAGGGAATGAACAGGGAGAGAGGTCTCTGTCCATCTACACTGCAGTGCAGTAAGAGGAAGGAATTCACTTTTGAGAAATCTCAAAAGCGATTTCTCTCTCAATGTACAGTACAGTGCGGTTGGAGGTTTATATTGCATGTGCGAAAACACATCCCAGAGCCAATAGCAGAAATAACCAGGTGTGGAGCGTGCAGAGACAAGAGGGGAAAAGGCCAAAAACGCATGATGCTGCAGCTGCCCAATAGCACAAACACTACACCTGATTCGGCGTAAGGAGTCTGATAAAGGGTCACATGGTGTTGCAGCGGCAGATAAGCATTGGAATTCTTACAGAAGTTTGGTGACTTCTGAGAATTCCCAAAAATCTCTCAAGGGGAGTTGGATGGTTGAAAGCTGGGTGCTGAAGCAGAGAGGGGCATTGATAACTTAGAGCGAATGAGAGAGGGGCCGGTACCTGAGAGCCGAATCAGAGACATGGCGAAGTGTGCACCAATGGCAGGGGTAACGAGGTGTGCTGAGAGAGTGTTTTCCCTGCAGGATGGTGATGGAGAGTGAGAAAGGAGAGTTAGTTGCAAGCGCAACTTTCTCACGTAATCAAAGTATGGTCCCTTGCCCCCATGCTGCGACTTATGAGTCGACTCATATTTATCCTCTCAGGAGTCAGTTGATTTACAGGAGACCCACCATCCGGGCAGTGGGCTGAAAACTCGGCTTTTCGGTGTTATCACAGCATGCTCCCTCACCCACCAACACATTCGCAGATTCACCCCCTGACACAAGTTCCCATTCCCACCCACCATCCGGGCAGTGGGCTGAAAACTCGACTTTCCGGTGTGATCAGGGCGTGGTCCCTTGCCACCACACTGCGAGTAAATCCGGGCAGGTCTGAAAACCAGCAGGAAAACATTACGAAGCCAGTGAGGAGAAACGTCGATTACAAGCAAAAATGAGTGCAGAAAGCAGAAACGGCAGACAAAATCACCTGAAAAAAACTAAGGTAAGTGACTCGCACCTTCCATGTGGACCGTGTCCAGGGTGGGTTCCAGAACCTTCTCATACATGCCACTTCCACTCCGTGGGCCTGACAATACGGGAAGACAGGATGTAGTGCGAAGAATGTGGATCAACTTGGACGAAGCTAACACTAGAAAGTGACGACCTTCTTTAGGAGGTGCTATATTTTTTAAACGACAAATAATGCTCCACTGGGTAGACAAAGGGCGAGGTCGCGCTTTCGTACCATCGGTAGCGGCTTCGGAACTCTGCAGGATGATTGCGAACGCGAGGGTTGACAGCGTTGCAAAAAGCTGACAGGCATGAAGAGCCTTCAACGACATGGCTTCACGTAGAGCTGGAGAATTGGCGTGGACTCTAAGACGACACGGTCCTGGGTGTGCAAAAGCAGGGTTTTGCAAAACAATCATTCGCAACAAGGAACGGGGGAGTCACGCTTAGTAGAAGCTGAAAACGAAATGGCGAGGTAGCGTTTCCTCTTTACCCCTGCTTTTTCTCAACAATCTACACTATGCGTCCAACGCCGCTGGCCTTGCGACAAGCACCTTGCCGTTAGGTGCACGTGATGAATAGAGCTTGCTAGTATACTCACTTATGAATCTGTCCGTTAGTTTTTCTGAATGGAATCAATCAATTATCAGAAGCTCTTGTGCATCTGTTGAGGGCTCGTTTCCGTAGCATTTGAACCACATTGCGGATTTGGTATTATGCATGCTACAATAAGACTTCAACATGGTGTCAGCCAGGTCACACAAATTTCCATCCCGAACTTGCCGATCCTTCTGTACTACTGGCTCGTGTCGGTTTAGAGAAAATCTTCGGACCTTGAGCCTTGTTCACTTCGAGGGACATCGCGGATCTTTGATGTTGTCCCCTTGTCAAATTAAGCATGCTTTGCGGTTTATAGCGTTTCGTCGTAGTGAAAAGCGGTGAAAGTCAGCAACCGCATTCAAGCGTTTAAATGCGTCCCGAGCCACGAAAAATGAACCGCAAGAGTATGACACGCCCTCGGCCTCCTCTCCACATCTGCGAAAGAGGTTTCAGTCTTTCGATGTGTTTCAGTCAACATTTTCACACCTTCCAGCTCTCAGAGCATCCCCACTTGTCCTTACCATCTCCTGGCACACGACATCTGAGTGCTGGTTTCACGCCTATCATCCCTTTCAGCTCGATCACGAAAATAAAATAACCGATTACAGAAGCACGCATTGGTTTCTGCTTTTCACGTGTACCATCTGCTGGGGGAGCTGGAAAAACTAACTTCACGTCCGTCATTCACGCGCCGCCCGATTTAGATTACTCAGAAGTTCATTTTCTCAGGAAATGGGCAATCCAGGCACTGCTGCAGATGTCGAGATGCGCATTCGTGTCATGAGGATGATGATGAAGCTTCAAGATCTAAAGCGAAGAAGTAAGTCACCGTCTTCAGCGGCTTATTGTATCCATGTAGATGTTCATAACTTTCTTGTGCAGTGGATGGGCTAGAGCTTTCCTCAACTGGTGGAGAAGCGAACATGACGCGACGGACAATGAGCACAGTAAGTATCACAGCAACGCTCTTCTCTAAGGTTTCCTTCTCAGCATTTCACTCAAACAACTGCATTGCAGGATACAATAATTCTACGCTTCCGGTTGTTCATGCTAGCTTCCTGGGCTGTCGCGATTCTCCTTGCAGTCGGCTATGCTTTCATATGACTGTACTACGTCAAGCACGAACAAGGCAGGTGCTTTTCAGCTGTGGCGAACTCACCTACCTACCCTGATGAATTTGCCGACATGTTTTAATGGAATATGAAAGCAGTGGCACGAAGTCATAGCCCTAAGTGTCAGGAACGATATTGTTTATGCTTCTGAGCATCACCACTTTCAATAGAAGCTCTGACCTAATGACGTTTTACAAGGTGGTGCTACCATGATCAATCTACTACACCTTGGGAGATCCAATTGGCTTGGCAGGAAGTTGCAGGACCTCCGCAATGGGCGGGTAATCATACAGCTTAGGAGGAAATCCAGCTGAGATTATTCTTGGCCCAACCAACCAGGCAGCTGCTGCACCGCCAAGCAGGCCCCCCAGGTGTCCTGAGTTATCAATGTTCCTCCAAAAAACACCCAGAACCATGTTAAACATGACTGTGGTGCCTAAGCCACGCAAATATGCTGACCCCCTCAAGCTCAGCTGCTTCTTGTGCCTCAGAAAGAACACCCCCAACGCCCCAACAAGCCCAAAAATCGCTCCAGATGCACCTACAGAGGGCGAAGGGTTGAGCACGAGGCTCAGCGCTGAGCTGGCTAATGCTGATGCCACGTAGATGCCAGCCATGCGCCGGCCCCCAAGCAGCGACTCAGCATCCGGGCCGATTGTATTCAGTGAAAGCGAATTCACTACAAGATGCTGAAGATCAGCATGAAGCAACGCGGATGAGAATAGCCGGTAGTACTGGCCCTGGCGGATGAGCGAGTTGACTTTAGCGCCGAGCAAGAGAAGGCGGTTGTTGGAGAGGATTTGGAGGAGAAAAGCGGCTGCGTTGATGGCAAGGAGAAGGTCGGTGACCTTGCGATGGGCCCTGGAACCACCAGGAGCCCAAGGCCAGATAGGACCTGTGGAAGGGGGACCAGAAAAAAAGTTATTTGGGAAGCTGTTGTTACCACCACCGTATGATCCCCCGCTAAAGGCGTTGGTGGTGAAAGGAGAACGAGATTTGTGTGATGAGGAGGGTCCAAAAGGGGGGAATAGGTGAAGAGAGGATTGCAGGCCGGGTAGGGTTGTGGAGAGGAGGTGGGGGAGGGCGAGTGGGAGGGAGCGGAGGAGAAGAGTGAGGGAGGCGGATAGTGATTGTGCGAACGGGTGAGGGGAGGAGGGAGAGGATGCGGCTGAAGGGAGAGGAACGGATTGTGAGCTGCTAGAGCCATCACCGCCGGTGACTGCTCTGCTGACGGGATCCGTACTAGCAGCAGGTCTTGTGTTGCTGCTTCTGCTGCTGCTGCTACTGCTGCTCCTCCCGCAACCTTCCACGATCTCGTCTCCTAAAACAGATCCCCCTTCGACCTCTCCCCCGGTACCCTGAAAAGACATTCTCGACTTATTCGCCCTCCTGTGCATCCGAATTCTGCTTCGCCGGGACGCAGCTCGCTGATTGGCCAACGCGCGGTGCTGCAGTAGCAGAACCGCGGGAAGAGGGCCATAGCAATTGACCACCCTGATTGACTGCGACGCTAGCCATGAAGACGGCGTACATACGCGAAACGGGGAGGCTTGAAAGGACGATGAGGCTGGTCCGCCTGGTCCGCCTGGGAACATCGTGAATGCTCCTAACTTATCCGACGGCGTGACGCTCTATTCTATCCCTAAAGTGCCTCAGAGAATCTGCTTCGATGCTGCTCGTCTCTGCTATTTCTTGCTCTGCAGATTCGCCCTTCAACTATTAAACGAGCTTCTCGTGGTCATAAGTCCAATCCCTTAGGCGCGGGTAAGGCGTGTTTGTATCTGATTTTCTGCTGACGCTGTTTGGATGAAGCAAAGCGCGTTACGCGAGGAGCGGCCTTACTCGCCAGGCCTAAAAGAAAGGGAAAGTATATCCCAGCTCCATAGTTTCAAAAATGTCTCAAATTTAGACGTAAGTTCACTCAAAAAGTACAGCTTTCTAGAAGTTTGCTCACGCGAGGTCCAGATTATGTTCAACACTGGTTCTGTGGGACAAAATTTTCGACACGTGTCCTATTTCGTATTAGCAATTTCTGACGGGGGCAAAAAACATAAAACCCCTAGGGGACCAGGACACACGTTCGGGAGGGACCGACCGTAAACACGAGGACCCGCTTGGTGTTTAGGGTTGATCCCTCCCGCAAATGGCCCTAGTTCCCGAGGGGTTTTATTATTTTTTGCCCCGTCGAAAATTTTCCAAGCGAGATTAGACACGTGTCGAAAAATTCGCCCCGCAGGACCAGTTTTGAACATACTTTGGGCCTCGCGTGAGCGAGATTCTAGAAAGTGGTACTTTTTGAGTAAGCCTGGGGCTAATTTTGAGAGAAATCTGAAAGTATGGACATGGAATATAGCTTCCCTAAAAGAAACAAGGCAAACACACGGACAACTGATGTCACTTGCAGGTGGTGGAATTGCTAAAACGGTGCTCGAGGTCCGACTGTGAGTAGGGCGAATACTGGCTCTGTACGATTGAGTCATATAAGCTGTGGTGCAATGTGATGAGAGTTCAAAAGTGATGCTCCACTGGTTCGCTGACATCTGTGGCTACGGACGCTACACGTGGCAGGTACACGAATTCGATGAAACTTGTAAATCGATATCGGCAAAAATAGGTGACAAGATTGTTACCAGATGCGTCTCACACGAAGTTGCCCTTCGCAGAAATCCGTTCAGAGTCCGCAAGTTCGCCGCAGATGTATTCACGGCTTCGAGGTGTTACTAGAGTGTGGAATCGCCTGTGCGATTTTGACGAAATTATTCGATATAACGTGCTCCACTCAAGCAATAAGGTTTAGGTTGTCAACCATGGTGGCGACCCGCTAAGTGCTTATAGTTCGCGTACACATACTAGCTCCACAGGCACTAAGGTCATAACGTCTTTTACAACCTGCGACCACTACAAAAGCTGGCGTAACCCACGCGCCGCTTGTCGCAGCCTGGATCTCCCCACCTTCCGTGCGGCCGAGCGCGTGCGAGCGTGTGCTTGCGTTATCCTCCCCACCGACCGCCGTATTGTCCGTGCTGGTGCCGTACTGAATGCCGTATAGCCGCTTGAAGATTCAACGTCGGCCCTGCCTGGCAGTTGGTGATGTTCTTTACCGCATCGGCGCATATCGAACGCTGAAATTCTGAGTCGATTAAACATCCTTCAAGAGAACACTTCAGTGCTCGTGCTCGTTTTCAGTGCTCGTTTTTCTGACCCGTCGCTTGCCAACGTGTCAAAGCGATCAGACACGTGTTGTCGACGCGATGTTGAACGTGTTGACGGGGCTGCTGCGAGGGCGATCCGTGCCGGCTAAGGGATTTAAGTATCTAACAGCGAAGCGCGGCCCGAAGAACTATTATAAGGGGACGGGGAGTCGCACCATGGGACGACACACAAAGAAAGGTGAATGGGAGTGGAGGGGTGGGGGGGGGGGGGGGGGGGGGCGGGGGAAGGTGGGTTGATGCGAGAGGAGGCGTGGGTGCGGTTGGGGGAAGGGGGGAGAGGGCGAAGGAGGGAAAAGGGGGGGGATTGAAGGTGGGGGAGGAGGAGGGCAGGGGAGAGGGGTTGGGCAGGGGGCAGGGGGGCAGGGGGGCAGGGGGGCAGGGAGGGTTGTGATGGGGGGAGGGAGGGGTTTGGGAGGGAATTGGAAGAGGGGGAGTGTGAAGGAAGTGGGCAGGGAGGGGGTTTATGGGGAGGGTAAAATGCTGAGAAGCTCCTTTGACTTGACAGGAAGAAGTAGCGCAAGGGGATAGGGAGTTTCATTCATTATGCCTTTAAGTCTGCTCAAAAGCGGGGGGTTATGGGGAGGGTAAAATGCCGAGAAGCTCCTTCGACTTAACAGGAAGAACTGGAGCAAGGGGACAAGGAGTCTCATTCCTTATGGGCTGGGCAGGTGATAAAAGTTGAGTTTTGAGATGTCTCATTTCCCCCTGCAGGTGGTTACATTCTCATGGAAGAGAAGATGCCAACCTACCTGGTTCCAGACCTCAGTAACTTCCAGGTATTTTCCTGCTGCCTTCCACGTAACTGCTGATGCCAAACCTCTCTAACTGCCATGTAACGTCAAATCACCTCTGCGTGGTTCCTTTCCATGGCCCCTGCGATGACTCTGTCTTTGAGTCGACTCAAATACAGACTCATAACACCCAATCACCTCTGCATGGTCACTTTTAAGTCGACTCAAAAGTCACATTGTTTTCGAGTCGATTCAAAAACAGACTCATAACGGCCAATCACCCCTCTGCGCGGTTCCTTCCCATGGCGCCTGCTTGGTGAATTCTCTGATGTGTCAACCTTTCACCCCAAGCGCCCACCTCTCACATTGCCAGGCTCTTTGAGGTCGCACTCTCCACACTCTCCACACTCTCCACACTCTCCACACTCTCCGCCCTCTCCACACTCTCCACACTCTCCGCCCTCTCCGCCCTCTCCACACTCTCCACACTCTCCACACTCTCCACACTCTCCTCCCTCTCCACACTCTCCGCCTTCCTCTGCCTGTGAAACTTTTGAGGCACCTCAAAGGTTTTTGAGTTTTGAGGCGCCTCAAAAGCACTCTCCACACTCTCCGCCCTCTCCACACTCTCCACACTCTCCGCCCTCTCCGCCCTCTCCACACTCTCCACACTCTCCACACTCTCCACACTCTCCTCCCTCTCCACACTCTCCGCCTTCCTCTGCCTGTGAAACTTTTGAGGCACCTCAAAGGTTTTTGAGTTTTGAGGCGCCTCAAAAGCACTCTCCACACTCTCCGCCCTCCTCTGCCTGTGAAACTTTACTTGCCTGCACCCTCCCCTCTCCCCCCTTCATGCTTTCCCTTGTTCCACCTCTTTCCCTCCCATCAGCTCAAGCCTTATGTCTCCCACACTGCACCCAAGAAACCACCTAAATCTGCTACGGGGGCTGCAGCATCCGTAGCATGTGCTGGGAATTTCACCACCTTTCTTCCCTATCTTCCCTTTCCCTCTGTTCCACCTCTTTCCCTCCCAACAGCTCAAGCCCTATGTCTCCCACACTGCGCCTAAGAAACCACCAGCAGCAATGTCCTCACCCCTCCATTCCCTCTCCTCACCTCTTCCACCCGCTGTCCTCCCAACAGCTCAAGCCCTATGTCTCCCACACTGCGCCTAAGAAACCACCAACAACAATGTCCTCACCCCTCCATTCCCTCTCTTCACCTCTTCCACCTCTTTCCCTCCCAACAGCTCAAGCCCTATGTCTCCCATACTGCGCCTAAGAAACCACCAACAACAATGTCCTCACCCCTCCATTCCCTCTCCTCACCTCTTCCACCCGCTGTCCTCCCAACAGCTCAAGCCCTATGTCTCCCACACTGCGCCTAAGAAACCACCAACAACAATGTCCTCACCCCTCCATTCCCTCTCCTCACCTCTTCCACCCGCTGTCCTCCCAACAGCTCAAGCCCTATGTCTCCCACACTGCGCCTAAGAAACCACCAACAACAATGTCCTCACCCATCCATTCCCTCTCCTCACCTCTTCCACCCGCTATCCTCCTAACAGCTCAAGCCCTATGTCTCCCACACTGCACCCAAGAAACCACCAACTGCTGCTACGGGGGCTGATGCATCCGTAGCAAATGCTGGAGCGAGATGAGTAGGGCAAGTTAAGATGTTTGTTAAGTGACAGTTGTTACGGCACTGGGGTTTAAGCATCCACGGCAAGTGCTGGATTGGGATGACAGCGGAGTAGGGGAGGTTTGCGGTACTAGGTAAGATTAGCTGGAATAACGAGTTGAATAGTAGGAAATCAAATCAGCAACGGGTGGTGGCATGTCATTGGAAAGATGCCGTCTTGATAGCCTTGAAGGATCGTATGCCTTGGACCATGTTCGTAATGTACTGTATGATGTTTAAGCTGAAACAGACTATTCCTCACCTTATCCCCTCCCAAGCCGTTAATAATCACCCCAGCAGCCATTATTAGTATGATTATGCATCACCAGTACCCCCTTCCCCCATCCCCGGCTCCTCTTTCACAATGTACAGTACCGTATAAGAAAAATTCATTCCACTATGGTTTTTATCAATCCAAAATTACATAGGTCAACACCAGCGTTATATTACATCTGCAGCGCTCTATTGGAGGTCAGGTCAAACAGCTTGGCAGCATTTTCATCTGTAAGCTTCACCATCGGAAACATCCTGCATTGCCCCCTAATCGTTATTCATCACCCAAAACCCGAGCCATTGCAGAATCATGTTATTAATATCGTGTCTGCTGTTCACATGTTACTCAGGCGTTACATCCTTAGAACCCTATTGGAGGTCAGGTCAAACAGCTTAGCAGCATCTTCATCTGAAAGCTTCACTGTGGGAAACATCCTGCCTTGCCCCCATCCGTTATTCATCACTCTTGAAGCTGCCTTCTTGGCAGGGTCCCCCACCACCCGCGTCCCCTCCCCTCCTCCCAGCTCCTCCCTTTCAGGTAATCCCAAGGCTTTCCTTGCTTTCCTCCTCTCCCTCTCCTCCTGCTGCTCCTGTCGAAGCCATGCCTCGATCATTCTCTGCAACAAAGGGGGTAGTGGAGAACGGGGAAGGAAGAGAGAAGGGGACAGGTGAGAATGACTCTCTTCACTCTCCTCACCACCCTTGAAGCTGCCTTCTTGGCCGGGTCACCCACGACCCGTGACCACTCTCCTCCTCCCAGCTCCTGCCTCTCCGGTAGCCCCAAGGTTTTCCTTGCTTTCCTCCTCTCCCTCTCCTCCTGCTGTTCCTGACGAAGCCACGTTTCGATCATTCTCTGAAACCAAGGGGGTAGGGGAGAATGGGGAAGGGGGAGCATGTCGAAGGGAGTGAGAAGGAAACAGGTGAGAATCCCCCCCCATCCGTTATTCATCATCCTTGAAGCTGCCTTCTTGGCCGGGTCCCCCACGACCCGTGATGCCTCCCCTCCTCCCACCTAGTCCCTTACGGGTAATCCCAAGGCTTTCCTTGCCTTCCTCCTCTCCCTCTCCTCCTGCTGCTCCTGCCGAAGCCACGCCTCGATCATTCACTGCAAAAAGAGGAGTAAGAGAAATTGGGGAGATGCAAGTGAGAAGGTGAAAGGCAAGAAAATATTACATTGATTTAAGCTCCACCTCTGCTGATCATTTCTCCCTCCAACACTCTACTTGCTTTCCTCTTTTCCCTCTCCTGCTGCTCCTGTCAAAGCCACCCCTCTATCATTGTCTGACACAGGACAAACAGGTAACTGCATGCATCATCATCCGTGCAATGCATCTCATGCGATCCCCCCCGTGTTCATAGTGTAGTTTTGAGACGTCTCAAAACAACTTCTGTGGCTCGCTTGACATTCTTGAGACTCCCTCCCAACTCTCCAGTGTTCATGGCGTTAACCCATTTCTTCCAGATCTGATTATGTTCAGACAGGCTCACCATAAGCGTGGTTGAGGCCAGCTCTGGGAACTCCGACAGCTGCTTGGTGAACTGCAGCCTGCCCTTTGCCACGTACGCCTGAAGAAGAGATTCAGAGGGGTACGGGGGAGTGCAGAGGGGCAGGCAAGGGCGCAGAGGGATGCAGAGGAGTGCAGAGGTGAGTGATCATCCATGAGAGTGGTGGAGGCCAGCTCTGGGAACTCCGACAGCTGCTTGGTGAACTGCAGCCTGCCCTTTGCCACGTACGCCTGAAGGGAGGGAGAGACAAGGATGCAGAGGGGTACAGAGGGGTGGAGAGGAATACAATGGTTACTAAACAATCAGCGTGGTGGAGGACATCTCTGGGAACTCTGTCAGCGACTTGGTCAACTGCAGCTAGCTGTTCGCCACGTATGCCAGAGATACGGGAGGGAGGTGCAGAGGGGCGGAGAGGGGTGCAGAGGGATGAAGAGGGGTACAGAGGAAGGAGAGCTCAAGAAACCAGCATGAGAGCAGTGGAGCCGGGCTGTGGGAACCATTGCCAGCCCGCCCAACCAGCATTCACCAACCAGCATTCACCAACCAGCATTCACCAACCAGCATTCACCAACCAGCATTCACCAACCAGCATTCACCAACCAGCATTCACCAACCAGCATTCACCAGCCAGCATTCACCAACCAGCATTCACCAACCAGCATTCACCAACCAGCATTCACCAACCAGCATTCACCAACCAGCATTCACCAACCAGCATTCATCAACCAGCATTCATCAACCAGCATTCACCAACCAGCATTCACCAACCAGCATTCACCAACCAGCTTTCACCAACCAGCATTCACCAACCAACATTCACCAACCAGCATTCACCAACCAGCATTCACCAACCAGCATTCACCAACCAGCATTCACCAACCAGCATTCACCAACCAGCATTCACCAACCAGCATTCACCAGCCAGCATTCACCAACCAGCATTCACCAACCAGCATTCATCAGCAGCTTGGGGATGGGAACCCATCAGCAGCAGCTGCCAGACCTTAGCTAGATACCCATAAAAGTGGACGAGATAGGGGTGTAAAGGGCCGCTTGCGGACCAATGGTATTCAGACACAGAGAAAGAGCACCAAATCTGAAACACAGAGAATGCTTACGATGTGGGTGGGCCACGTCTGCAGCCCGTCAAAAATGTGTGTAGCATACACAATCGTTGCCCCCCTCTGCTCACACTCCTCCCTCAGAAACGACATGAGGTCCGCTCGGCCCAACACATCCAAATCCACTGTGATCTCGTCCAACAGGAGAACCTGCATTCATGGTTGGGTGCGGTGGGGAGGGGTGAGAGGAGCAGATGACTGGATCGGCCCGACCCAGCACGTCCAAATCCTCTGTAATCACGTCCAAGATAAGAGCCTGCATGGTGTGGGCAGTGGGGGAAAAGGATTTGGCACACTCAATCCACGCTCGCCCCTCTGTTCGCACTCCTCCCTCAGGAACGACATCAGGTCCGCTCAGCCCAACACATCCAAATCCACTGTGATCTCGTCCAAGAGAAGGACCTGCATGCAAGGGGGGGAGGGAAGGGGAGAAGAAAAGTGGGGGAGAGGAAAGCTGCTATCAACATCAGCTCGACCCAACAAGTCCAAATCCACTGTTATCTCGTCCAAGAGAAGAACCTGCATGCATGGTTGGGTGGAAGGAGGGGCACAGGAAAAGGGGAAGCTGGGAAAGAGGGGAGTAGGTCAATGCATCAGCTCCACCTTCCCCTCTTCCTTTGCTGATCGAAACCAACTAATTTCAACGGAAAGAGGGGAAAGGGGAAAGAGGGGGAAGAGGGGAGTAGGTAAATGCATCAGCTCCACCCAACATGTCCCCAGATCCCCGACGTTGCAGAATACTTTTGAGAACTCTCACAAATATTCAGATCCCGCGTCACAAATATCCATCTCCCGCGTTATTTCACCTGCGAGACCTCACACATCCCCACACGCCTTGAAAAGCTTAAACAACCCATTGCAATCTGCATGCGCCTCCTCAGTCCATCTGATACTTTTACATCCGCCACTCCAAGTCCATATCCAACACCTTGGTCAACCTATCCCTACTCTCACCTTGAACTACCCCACACACACACCTACACAAGTATACACCTACACCTGTGTGTCCCTTAAAAGCTTTAACAACCTCATGGCGATTTGAACGCGCCTCCTCTGCCCATCTGACACCTTATGCATCCGCCACTCCAGGTCGATATTCAACACCTTGATCAGCCGCTCCCTCTCTCAACAAGTGTTACCCCACACCCACACACACCTTGAGGTCGATATCCCACACCCACACACACACCTTGAAGGGCTTCAGCAATCCCATTACGATCTGCACACGCCTCCTCTGTCCATCTGACATCTTATGCATCCGCCAATCCAAGTCGATATTCAACACCTTGATCAGCTGCTCCCTCCTCCCTCTCACCTTGAACTACCCCACCCCCACACACCTTGAATAGATTTATGTGCACACCTTGGAGGGCTTCAGCAATCCCATTGCAATCTGCACGCGTCTCCTCTGCCCGTCTGATACTTTGTGCATCCGCCACTCCAGGTCGATATCCAACACCTTGATCAGCCGCTCCCTCCTGGCAGGGTCCGCAGCAGCGCCGAATAGCATCTTTCTGGCCGATATATCCATCTGTAATGGCACGTCGAAACCAGCAAATGCCACATCCCTGCGCCACTGCAGGCAGAAACCAACGGTGGAAGGGAATGGAACACAAGTGTCAGCTGGAGGCAGCAGTAGTAGCGGTACTAAACTTTTTCTGGATTGAAAGGGTGGAGGGAGGGCAGGTACTGGCCTCGCTGCCAAGGTTCGTGAAAGCATTAGATGCGTACAGCCCAGTATCTTGGAAGGCAGAGCGAACTGACTTTTGAATCAACTCAAAAGTCAGTCAGCCCGCCAAGGTATGTGAGAGCACCAGACGCCTCCAGCCCGGTGTCGTGAAAGGGTGACTGGATGATAATGGGGTCAGAGAGGGATGATGGGGGAGGGGTACTGACCTCGCCACCCAGGTATGTGAGAGCACCAGACGCCTCCAGCCCGGTGTCGTGGAATGCAGAGCGGGCAAGTGTTACTGGAATTTCACACAAGGAAGTACTGGGAAAGCATAGGTACTGACCTCGCCACCAAGGTACGTGATAGTGAGAGCACCGGACGCCTCTAGCCCGGTATCGTGGAAGGCAGAGCGAGCAATTGTTGAGTGGGCTTTGAGGTTAAGGGTGGAGGGAAGGCAGGGCTACTGACCTCGCCGCCCAGGTATGTGAGAGCGCCAGACGCCTCGAGCCCGGTATCATGGAAGGCAGAACGGCCGAGCACGCGAACCATGGAGGGATCGACCATATGCTTTCCTCCCAGGATCTTGAGAATGGTGGTTTTGCCTGAAGGGATGGAACGGATGGATGGGGTGAAGGCGGTCAGAAGGGGAATCAACAAGCATGCACGCGAACCATGGAGGGATCGACCATGTGCTTGCCGCCCAGGATCTTAAGAATGGTAGTTTTGCCTGAAGGGGAGGAAGGGGAGGGGGTCAAGCGAGAAAATAAGACGAGACGCTTGGTGGGAGCAAGGAGAGTTATAAAGGAGCGCCGGAGCTGTGGACGCTTGTCGCCTAAGAAACCATGATTACCGGGAAGCAGCGTGAATAAGAAACCGTTCCTGAGACAAATAGTTAAGTACAACTTCACATACCTGCGCCATTCGCGCCGACGAGGAGGCAGCGATCGCCGGGGTGCAGAGTGAAGGAGAACCTGAAACTTCAGCTTGAACCATAAGTTATCAAGGCACACTCACCTGCTCCGCTCGCGTCGACGAGAAGGCAGCGATCGCCGGGATGCAGCGGGAGGGAGAAGCCAAACACATGAGCTGACTCATAACATGATAACTTCACATACCTGCACCATTCGCGCCGACGAGGAGGCAGCGATCGCCGGGGTGCAGCGTGAGGAAGAAGCCAAAACTCTTTCCTGAGCCATAGTATATTGAAGCACACATACCTGCGCCATTCGCGCCGACGAGGAGGCAGCGATCGCCGGGGTGCAGCGTGAGGAAGAAGCCAAAACTCTTTCCTGAGCCATAGTATATTGAAGCACACATACCTGCGCCATTCGCGCCGACGAGGAGGCAGCGATCGCCGGGGTGCAGCGTGAGGAAGAAGCCAAAACTCTTTCCTGAGCCATAGTATATTGAAGCACACATACCTGCGCCATTCGCGCCGACGAGGAGGCAGCGATCGCCGGGGTGCAGCGTGAGGAAGAAGCCAAAACTCTTTCCTGAGCCATAGTATATTGAAGCACACATACCTGCGCCATTCGCGCCGACGAGGAGGCAGCGATCGCCGGGGTGCAGCGTGAGGAAGAAGCCAAAACTCTTTCCTGAGCCATAGTATATTGAAGCACACATACCTGCGCCATTCGCGCCGACGAGGAGGCAGCGATCGCCGGGGTGCAGCGTGAGGAAGAAGCCAAAACTCTTTCCTGAGCCATAGTATATTGAAGCACACATACCTGCGCCATTCGCGCCGACGAGGAGGCAGCGATCGCCGGGGTGCAGCGTGAGGGAGAAGCCGTCGATCAGCGGCTTGGCGCCGGGCGGCGGCTGGCCGTCGATTCCGGGATACGTGAACTGGAGGTTCGTGACCTCGATGTTCGGCGGGGGTTGCGCGGTTTCCGCGATTTCAGGGACGGACGGGGCCATGACAAGAACGCGACGCGATAGAATTGACGGTAAGCGGTTTATACGGGATTGGACTGGCGAGACGAGGAGTCGGGAATGACGAGAGACGAAGTGATCGCGAGAAACGAAGCGATGAACGTGACGGTCTACGGTTAGCGAGGTGCAACGGAGTAAAGCGAAAGTACTAGCAAGAAGAGTATTGAGCAAGTCGGGACTCGAGATATACGCGGGAAGAGTGGTCAGCAGCAGATCAAGCCGACGAAGATGATCGAAGCAGGAGCTCTTGAGTACAAGCTGCGAAACGGTGGAGATGAAGTAAGCAAGCTCTCTTAGCGCTATAATGGAAGAATAGGACTTAGGAATTCCTGATTCCCGAGGCGTCCCAGCTCTGAAAAGGTTGAGTGATGGTCGAATCCCATGGTCACAGTTCCCTCCCACCGCACCAGTCTTGGGGGAAGCAGTAGCGCACCTCGTGGCTGGCTGCTGGCTGTCCACGTCTTGTGCGAACATATACAGTTTTTTGTTACTACTGATTGCCTGCCCGAAACAAAAGAACAGCATTTCATGCAGCCAGGGCACAGTCGGACAGGAGCTCTTGCGGGTAGAAAGTGAGCTTTGGCTGCCCAAATGGAAGAGGCGACGCGTCGTGTGACGTCGCAATTTGTCAACGAAAAGGCGTGGACGACAGTCGACGACGACAATCATCGCGGGCTGGGCTGGCGACAGCCACGACACCAAATATTTCCACGGCCAACAAGTCAACACCATATCGACCCTGTCAGAAGGAAATACTGTAGCAGTAACACTGAGCGTAACTACGGCTGGTAACGAAAAATGACGAAACCCCTTGCCAAGCTGTCTGACAGCGCTGACGTGTATCCCCGCCACAATGTTCCCGCGCTTTCTGTCAGCGGAAGCTGAGCGCAAGGCTCACTCACTCTGTTCCCCGCGTCATCCCGTTCCTTTGGCGCGCGCGGACACGCAGCTCCGCAGAAACCTTTCCCGCCTGTCATACAAGATTTTCCTCCAAGATTTCTTGATCCATTCATCCTTATTCCAAGTAGTCTTAGAATCTAGATACTGCCAGTCTAACGAGCCCGTATTAGAGACCTGCTTTGCCATCTATTACTACGCCTAGATTCCCTGCATCCATGGATGTAAGTTCTGTTTCCAGTTACTTCACTACCACGTTGCAGTCAGATTCCTTTTCCAATCTATTCGTTGCTCGTTATTCCGAATTAATTTCGCGGTAAGCTTCTCTAAATTGTCACCATGCGACGTTACGGATTTTTCTGATGCGATTCGTCAGCGCAACCTCGTCTAGTAGACGCTGGCTGTCGTCTCAAATTATCCTCCAGAATTACACGGTCTTCCATAATAAGTTACACGAAATTCTTACGTTTTCTTTTATCGTCCATCCTTTTTTATCAAATTGTTGCGTTTTCAGGATCCAGAGCTCGAGGCTATTCGCCAGAGGCGAATGAGGGAAATAATGGCGGCCCAGGGCGCACAGGTGCGTGCTTACAGACTCTGCACAGTGTGCACAGAAACACATTGTATACACGAGACGAATCGCACCAGGGAAGGAGCTGAAGCTGGAGAAGGCATGACTTGATTTTCACAGAGCTGATTTCGAGAATTTGCACATGAACGCATGTGATCACACGTGAATGCTCTTTTTGAAGGAATGTGGAGCTAGAGACATCATCCCAATGCTTCGCGTGTGGAAATTGTGTTGAGTCTAATCAGGCAGGGAGGGGAGCTGGAGCAGGGATACCGCCGGTTAAGAATCGCTTCATGGATTCATTCTTCTAGCAAGTTTGTTCATCCGTGCTTCCTGTGTGGGAATGGTGTTGAGACGTTTCAGGCAGGAAGGGGAGCTGGAGCAGGCATGCCATCTGCCGCCGCTGGTCAGCAGGATGAGTCAAAGAAACAGTAAGTAAGGCGAGTCACAGTCTAGGTAAGTAGGACGAGTCACAGTCTAGGTAAGTAGGACGAGTCTCAGTAGAGGTAAGTAGGACGAGTCACAGTATAGGTAAATAGGACGAGTCTCAGTATATGTAACCAAATTCATGGATTCATGAGTTCTTCACCTTTGTCGATTCGTTAGTTCGGACTGAAAGAAATCTCGTTGCTTGCGTCTGACTGCTTGTCGTTCTTGTGGCTGCAGGGAAGCTGAGGAGAGGAGACAGATGATGCTGGCCCAGCTGATGGACTCGAGTGCGAGAGAGCGATGTGAGTTTCATGATGTGGTGTTTGGTGTAGTGTGATAGAAACGAGCGTGACAAATGTGGATGTGACAGACCGTTGGATAAGTAACACGGGAGACTGATGATGCTAACCCTATGGACTCGAGTGCCAGACAGAGAGTGATGTGAGTTTGGTGGAATGTGACAGAGCCGAGAATGACAGGTGTGAACAGAAGAGATTGGTGCAGAAACCACAGAGGCAGATGGGGTTGTGGCCAATGCTGCTACCTCAGATGGTACAGTCAAGTGAACAGAACTGATTACTGTGATATTGAATCGAAGAGAATAAGGTGGAGATGTGGGGATGAACCTCGCCTTTCCTCTCACCCGCCCTTTCGCATCCCTTCTATCTCTGTGCGATCCCGCCTGATTAATTGATTCCTCCGCCCCCGTTGCTGCATTGGTTGGATTACCCAAACCCCCCCTGCATTCGTTCTCGCACTCTCCCCCTGCACTGGTACCCCCCCCCCCCACCCACTCCCCCTCCTGCAATGGTTCTGCCATCCCCCCTCCTGCATTGGTCCCCCATCCCCCCTGCTGCATCGGCTTAATACCCCCCATCCTCCCCCTCTTCTCCAGCCCCCCACCCACGCAGTGGCACGCATTGCACTGGTGAGGCCTGAGAAGGAGTGGGCATTCTCAGCGGTAGAGATGTAAACTCCTCGTCTGTAACATCCCCTCTGCCCCCTCTGCCCCCCTCTGCCCCCCTATTGCCCCCTCTGCCCCCCTATGCCCCCCTCTGCCTCCCTATGCCCCCCTATGCCTCTCTGCCCGCTCTGCCCCATTCTACCTCCCTCTTCTCCACCCGAACACCCAGTGCCGCGCATTGCCCTAGTGAAGCCTGAGAAGGCGGGAGTGGAGGATTTAATCATCAGGGGGGCTGCGAAGTGCTTGTGCTTGTGTGAACAACCCCTCTGTCCCCGTCTGTCCCATCTCCAACACCCCTCCCTTGCAGTGGCGCGCATTGCCCTTGTTGAAGCCTGAGAAGGGCTGTGACGTGTTCCCCCTTCTGCCCCCTCCCCCCCCTTCAACCCTTACCATGCAGTGGCGCGCATTTCCCTGGTCAAGCCGGAGAAGGCACGAGCAATACTGCAGTACGGGTGCGAGACCCTCACATGACCACGCCCTCTCCCCCCTCTCTGTCCCCTTTCCCCCACCCACCCTTGCACTGGCGCGCATTACCCTGGTGAAGCCTGAGAAGGCGCGGGCAGTATGGCAACAGGGCTGTAACGTGTTCCCCCTTCTGCCCCCTCTGCCCCGTTTCCCCCGCCCACCCATGCAGTGGCGCGCATTGCCCTGGTGAAGCCCGAGAAGGCGCGGGCAGTGGAGGGCTTGATCCTCAGGGGGGCTGTGAATCGCTTGTGCTTGTGTGAACAACCCCTCTCCCCGTCTGCTCCCATCTCCAACACCCCCACCCGCTTGCGCAGTGGCGCGCATTGCTCTGGTGAAGCCTGAGAAGGCGCGGGCAGTGGAGGATTTGATCATCCGAGGGGCGCAGACAGGGCAGCTGGCGGAGAGGGTGAGTTGTGACTGTAGAGGGTGTTACTTTGATGGGTGTGTGTGACTGCAACGGGTGAATGTGACTGTAGCGAATATTGGTTAATTCGTAGAGCAGTGGAGGAACAGATGTTAAGAGGGGTGCAGACAGGGCAGATGGCGGAGAGGGTGAGTGTGAATGTAGTGGGTGTGTTGTAGTGAGTGTGACTGATAGGATGTTTTGTAATGAAGGCCACACAGCAATCGTTTGAGGGGCGTGGACGCGACATCTGGTGGAGAGAGTGGATGACTGCGGAATGTGCCAGTAGTAGTTAGGTGTGATAATAGTGAATCAATTTGAGATTGATAGTCATTCGTTAGTGGAGGGTATAAAGGGGGAGCAAACAGGGAAACTGGCATAGAGGATGAGTGTGACTGTGACGAGACTGATGCAAGTGCGACTGTACTGAGTGAAGGCAAGTAGCTGTTGGGAAGAGGATAACTCAATGGTTGCAGGCATGACAGCTGACAGAGACGATAATTGTAAGCAAGCTGATTGAAGGTGTGTGAGAGTAAGGGTTTGTGGTAGTGGACTACATGGGTATGTGAGGATCATATACATACAGTGTGAGAGTAAGGGGGTGTGGCAATGGAGAGTATGGGTGTAAGACGATTACTAGAGGAAAGTTGGTGACGAAGGTGGCCGTGATTGTAGTGAAGGGCAGCTCTATTCGTTGCCCCCATCCCTTTCCCTCTCCATCCCCGCTTCTTACGTGCCCCCCTTCTGCGCCTGTCCATCTACTCTCTGCCTGGCTTGCCTTCTCCCCTGCCCACTTCATTCTTCTCTTAAACCCAAACCCCTCATTGCTTTTGCTGCCCCCATCCCTATTGCTCTCCGTTTCCTCCTATTCTGACACCAGCCGTTTTGCTCAAAGCCTAGCGGTATACTGTCCGATGCCCCTCATATACCTACGTCAGCACTAAGCTCATCACGTTTCATACATGCACTGTACCATGCGTAATTGTGTGCGTGTATGTGTGTGCCTGCATGCGTGCATGTGTGTTTGTGTGACCATCAGGTGACAGAGTCTCGCCTGATTACTCTCTTGGAGCAGATCAATGAGCAAACACAACAACGTACCAAAGTCACGGTTAGTGTAACCTATTGGTAAAAAGACATGATGTTCTCCAATTTCCATCATTCTTTCGTTTGCTAACTATTCTCTCCCACTCCCCCTCTTTTGTCAATATTGTTGATGCTGCCGCAGATACAAAGGCGGCGTTCTGCTCTGGACG